GGAAGAAGACGAACTGGAGAAACGCCTGGCGTGCTAGTGGCTTAATTGCTCAGGGATTCCAGCTTGTTATGGCCGGTGTCTCAGGTACGTTTACATAGTCCGTTACAGCGCGGTTTCGCTAACCCAGTTCGCGACTTAGTTCCTCGGCCATTTACCACGCGGAATCGAAATTTCCACGCGCTGTAGGAATCTTAAAGCGATCGTGGCTCTCCTCGTTTCGCCGTTGCAATTTACTCGATCATTCCATCGGCGAGGATCGATGATTATACGCGTCTCGCACGTCATCGAGTACTTTAGCGAGGATGGAATAGTCACGCAATACACAATCAACGTTAAAAGCCAGCCTCGTGGTAATAATACATCTAGAAAGAAATATCGTAAAAATATTTCCACTCTGACTTATATGAAAAATGGTCATTGTATTATAATGATATTCATCTCAAATGGTTTTTTCAGAGTAATATATCAAATTGTGATTAATGCAGAGTCAATATTATCGCTGTTTTAGTTAGAAAAATAATATATCCGAGTATAATTCAGGTAAACATAATAAAAAATAATTTTTATGTATATCTTGAAAATGCTACCTTTGTATTATAATTATATTTATATATATGAAAAAGGCTTATCGAGCCATCGCTGGTTGTTAGTGCGAAAATTTTTAATGTTTCGTATAGAAACTTGATTCGTCTGCATTGAGACATTAAAATGTACACTGATCTGATTCGATCTCAGATTCGATCTCAATTTTCGAATCGGAGATCAGTGTACATTTTAATGTCTCAATGCAGACGAATTAAGTTTTTATACGAAACATTAAAAATTTTCGCACTATCAACCAGCGATGGCTCGATAAGCCTTTTTCATATTGATATGAGTTATCACACGAGCCTATTTTTCATATGGAATTTCTCTTATATTGATAATTATATTCGCTTACATCACATTTAATTTCGCAAAGTTATTTTAGCTCGCTTGCCCGAACGTTTTCTTTTTTTTATTTCACCTTTTCTCGCTTAGCACTTTGTACCGCTGACATTTAACAGGCAAACTCGCGATGAATCCGTGGCCTCGGCTGCTACACCCCGTAAGCTCATACTGTCTCGTGGAAATTTCTTGATGTGCACCAACGGTGAGTCTATCTTCGGGGTGTAATTCGCGGACGTCAACGGAATACCAATGTCGCCGCCATCGTTCTCTATCGTCGTCCTCGTCGTTCTCCATTCTCTCCGTGAGTGGTCATAAAAGTTTAGAGGGAAGCCCGTTCCGGGGTGGCAAGAGAGATGGGCGGAGGGAGATGGAATGGGAATCTAGCGAGGTAGGAAAAAAGATGGATAGCTCGTAGATGGTCTACTTTATTGCGGCATCGGACATTATATAGCTTATGAAGGCGAGATGATAGAATGGGAGCTTCAGTTGAATCCGAGAGAGAAGGAGAGGAAGATGGAGAGCTTTCGCTCGTGAATGAATGATCAATCGTCCCGCATATTGATTGGGGCGGTGCGAGAGGGTTGAAATGAATTTTTATACACTGATCGCTTGTCGTTCACTCATTGTTGAACGATAAAACAGAGCAAATTCACCGAGCACGCATACAGAGTTAATTGGACATGGTTATGTAATGGGATACCGATCGTTATTGTTAAAACTTTTGTCTCCGTGTTGTAAAATTTACGCTGTTTTGGTTAGAAACGGAAAAAGGGATTTATTTTGAAAATATGTTTCAAGACCGACGGTAATTCAATGATAAGCTGTGATACATATATTACGCGTATTTTTTACGCAATATCTGTGTTAATTTTAAAACTTTTTTCTATCGCGTTGCAAATTACAAAGTTGCGTATCTCAATGTAACCTTGTTGTCCCTTGCACTATTTTATTGTTTATATGTATTATCACGATATTACTGCATCATTGTTTATGCGATTGCGATTGCAATCTTTAATACGAAACTCCGGAGGCTGCTTCTTTTTACATTTGAATTGTAAATTTCGCGCGGTCGCGTGCGTGGAATGATAAATACTATCCTTCGTTCCGTAGCTAGTTCCTCAGGGATCCGTACGTGACTCAGTCCGGAGAATAGCTCACTGCTTCTTGCGAAACGGCGGATTGAGCTTTTCGATGCTTTTTCCCATCCCGAGAAGGATAACCACGAGAGATAACTACGAACGAGCAGTGAATTAAATCGAAGTCAATATTTCCCTTGAATTATGAAAGAACCGCGAAAGAGATACCGAGCGCGAGATCTTGTAGACAGGCGAGTCAAGTTGCTTCGTCCTTAATTTGAGAAATAATTCACTATAAATTTTGTCGAATGGTGCTGTCAATAAATTTTCATCGAAATTGCAATATCTGAGTGTTCAATTCAATTCGCACGATTTTCTGAAAGAAAATCAGGTAATAATCTTACTTATATCGAAAAGCAATATAAGTAGATGTGAGGTCTAATGAAGAAACAGTTTAATTAATTGTACGAGCAGGATTTCTCGGCAGAAATAGGCTTGATACGCGAAATTAAAAACTTGATTTGTGTTTGTAATATTTAAATCTCGAAAATGACGACTTCATTATTTGTTAATGTTCGCCAATAATTCAAATGCGCTTATTCGATTTTTACACACGCGTATCGCGTCCGTGTGATACATGTATGACTATTACAGGTCGTTAATTACCGCTAATGATCTCGAAATCCAATAAGCCTGATGCGCGTTATTAACTTTACAGTGATAATTTATATTCCATTACATTTGCGTCATTTATCGTGCGCGAAATCGTAAATAAGCTTCCACTTTCCATCGATTACTGTCCACCGAGATTTTTATCGACGAACAACGCCGCTTATTCTCCAATAGATATTAACATTGTCACCGGCAGCGTATTTCGTTATCGGGGCGCCAATTCATTTCCGCACGTCGCCGAATCTTCAACCTCATTGGTCCTCGAATGAGGACTTTTCTGTTCCGCGCGCGAGTCGGCCGCCGGATCGGAGCTTTCCGATACGGAATCCCGGAGCGAAGGATAAAAGAGGAAAAGAAGGATCTAAGAAGACAGTAGGGGCGAAAAAGGTGGGCGGCAGGGGGCGAACGAACGACCAGTGGATCAAACCGAATCCAATAACTCCCGTGGGATTACAACTCTGGCCCACGGGAACCGATCGTATCCCGGAGAGATGGCGAGCGTGAGGCGTGGGAAGGACGCGAAGAGGTGAGGGTGGCTTGGGGGGAGGGGGAGGGAGGGGGGAGGAAGTTTAGAAAGGTGGCTTGTCTGGATGAAGGAGGTGGAGGCAGCTTTGGCAGCTTTCTTCTACGCGGCACAACGGAGGACGACGATATTTTGTTGAGCTCGATCCGAATGTACAGGACGGCGCGAACTGCATTTGTATCAGCTGACATAACGGGTGAACCGGGAAGACACCGCTTGGCTTTCGCGAGAAACAAAGAGGGTGAGGAGGAAAGAGAGAGAGGGAGCGAGGAGAGAGAAAATCCGCGAGCACGATACGCCACTCGGACACGTAGCCAATATTAATCCGTCGCGGCGGTCGCAATAATTGCTGGCCGCTTTTTATATATCGGACACAAGACCGGCTCCCTCGGGCGCGGGCAATCGAATCGCGTGGGACAAACGGCAAACGGCCGAGCGACCTCTCCGCTAAATGATAAGAAAATACGCCGTTCAATCACGAGCTTGTCAGGTTCAACGGGTTTCCGTGACGCGCCTCGCCAAGCATTCCCGGCAAATTGAATTTCTCGAGGCGTTCGCCGCGCCGCGGCGAATCTTGTTCATGGCGAATCGCGCGCGCGAGCGAGCGGGCGAGCGAGCGAGCAAGTGTCCGTGTGTACGCGGCGCTTACACGCGAACAGCGGTGAGCGTGCGAAACGACTTAGCCGGTTTCAGCCAGCAACGATAGCTACGAACGGTGTAACTTATAAGTCGTTCGCGGGATTTTGACAAATCGTCCGAGCCCGACCAGTTCTCGATTTTCTCCCGTTTTTCTTTTTTTTTTTCTTTCTTTCTTCTCACTTCGCTCCTTTCTCCATCCCACATCCCGCCACTTCGTTCCTTCTTTCCCAGCCGATCCAGCCGGCTACCAGTGCCGGCGCACTAAATCCTCGTGCCACGCCGCGCGAAAACTTTTTCTCCACGAAGTTGGAGTTTTCCCGGGTTTATCGGCGGTGCGGGTAGTTTTTACTTGGCAACTCTTTTTTACTCTCCGTCTCTATCCTCCCCC